TCATTGTGAGCCTCTCAGAGGCAGGGTCTGCTGGAGTGGAGTGCTGCCATCAGGGCAAAGAACTTCAGTGCCAGGCAGGAAAACAGAGGCAGCCAGCCCAGCCCTGTAATGAGTATGCCTAGACTGCACATCCAGAGTACATGGCTTCCCACAGGCATTGCAAATCCTGGATCTTGGAGAGGAAAGTGGCTGAGCCAGAGACTGCCAATGACTGCCTGTCCTGCCAGTCTGACTCCGGGGCTGGGCAGCTGCTTTGCATGTGGCTGACTTGCTTGCCCAGACAATTTCTGTTGCCTTTAGGAATTAAGCAGGTTAAGCCAAGCGCAGCTGGTGTTTTCAAATTTTCCCAAGCAAAGGAAAAGATGCAACTTATATAACACCCTTGGCTGCAGAGCTAGCTTGCCTGGCACAGCTGAACAGCCAGGAGGAGCCCAGAGAGTACCCTTTCTAGGGAGGCACCGGTTGATGTAACAGCTTATCTGTCCCTGGCTGTCATTGGGGCACTCTCTCAGGGCCGCTCTTTCTAAACCTTCTGCAAACTTCCCAGCAACTGAGAGACCTCTAGAGTTTATTTCAGACTAAGGTACCAAGTTCAGGAGAAATAATAACAACCAACATGAATCAGCCCTTGCAAAGGTTCTATGCCAAATGCCTTACCTGCATGATATCATTTAATCCTCACACCACCCCAGAAGGTAAGCATGGATATTCTAACCAATTTGTTGAACAAGACAGGCTCAGAGTTGCTGAGCGATCATTCACACTCACAGTATTGAATACAGCCAATTGGCTCCCAGCATCCATTTCCACTTCCTGCTCGCAGTTTTCTGTGCATCAGCAGCCAGAAAGCTCAAAGCATTCCCCAGACTCCCTTGGAACAGGGCACTAGGTAAGAATTAACTTCTGCCCTTTAGAAGTGCTTGTGTGAAACTTGGCTACTTTGATTGACAAAGGCATGGAGATATACAATGATCCTGTGTCCAGTCACCTCTTTTGTTGGGGTCAAAAGGCAGTTAAGCCAGCTTTCCAGCTCCAGTTTTCTGATCCTTGAGTCAAGACCAAGACAGTGAGTTCCTGAATTTCATAGCTCTAGGGGGAAGACTCCATTGGGCAGTGCTGATGCATCCCAGGAACTCTTCTCAGGGAACAGGCCTAGAGCCAGCTCCACCAGCCCTGCCAGTGGATTTGCAGAGATACAAATCCCTTTATTAAATCTCTTTCTGTTGAAAATGGGTAGAGTGCTTTATATTTCCCTTACTGAGCTGGTTGATACAGTCCCAGAACAAAGAAGCAAAGTTGGGACAAATACAGGATCTCCTGATTCCCAAACGCTCCCTACAGTCTCTCCCATTGGAGAGACTGGGGGATATTCAAGATCCAAACTACAGCAGTCTGCTAACCTCAGAGGGGTCTGTCCTCATGCGTACAAGATGGCTGCCCTATTCCAACTGTCGTAACCAGTCATACCAATCTCTTAGAAGAGGGATTTTTCCTTTATTATGCTTCTATTTTCATCAGATGCTGCAGTCTAAATTTTTGTATCCATCCCTCAAAACCCATATGTTCAAATGCCACCCTCCCAAGATGATGGTATTAAAAGGTGAGGTCTTTGGGAGATGATTAGTTCCCTCATAAAAAAAGACATGTATTAGGATACAGTAGGAAAGTGCTATTTATGAACACCAGAGAGTACCCACCAGACACTGAATCTGCTGGCACCTTGACCTTGAACTTGGGTTCAATCCCCAGCACTGCAAATAAATAAATAAATAAACCAAAACAAAAACTTCTAGTATTTGCCTAAGTTTGAAACTTGGAAGAGAGACTATGATTGCACAAGCAAAAACAAATTTTTTTAAATCTGAGACTCTAAACACCAGAAGCATGTGAGCAATGGGACTGAAGAATGATTTGTTAAACTCATGGCTACTCGGCTGAATCAGGATGTCACGGCATCTCATATGTGCTGTGCACAGCGTTTTATGGACTGGGATGGGCAATCCGGAACTGTCACCTGCTCTTTCTGGTACATGAGTTGTAACAATTCTTGGTCATTTATTTTGGATGAAAGCCATTGTTTGGAAGGGTTAAATCATAACTGCAATTTTTTAGCCTATTTCTTAATCTATGCAATGGAAAGAACAAGAAGTAGATTGAACCAAGGTGTTGGGGCTGGACCAAGTTGGCATTTTTTTCCAAGTGTTTTGAGTTCAAATCTACTTTAGAAATAGAATTAGTCAAGAACAGTTCAGGTTGGGGAATCTATAATACAACAGGTTATATCATAAATGGTGTTATGATAAAAATAAATAAGAAAAGGAGGAGGAGAAGAGGAACAAGAGAAGAAGGAAAGAAGGAGGGGAAAGAGAGAAATTATGGCTGCCATCTATATGCTCAAAATCTCTGCTCAGATTCCTCCCCCTGGAACAGGCAGGTGACACACTTGGGATCCCCAAGCCTCCTTTTCCCTAGGCTAAGTGTTTCTGTCTCTGTCAACAGCTCTTCATGTGAAAGTGGTAAGGAGCCACTGTGGTGTCGGCATAGGGCCAATGCTCCTGACCATTGTTGCCTGTGACAACTTGGCCAAGTGGCATTACTCCCAGAATCGCTGTTTCCTTATGTATACATGGGTTCATGCCCTTACTTCATAGGGCTGCTGGGGTGAGAGTGGAGGAGAGAAGGCAGAGGGAGCCAGCCAAGGCTTCCTCCCTCTGCCTGGGTTGGGGGGGCAACTGTCATTTATCAAGGTAATGCCTATGGGACCCTCACCTTAGAGGCGCCCTGAGTGGCTCTGGTGAGGACACATGGTTTTTGATTAGAAGGTGGTTTTTGTTGTTTAAAACTTCTGAGCTGTTTCATTCCACAGTTGGCTCACATAAAGCTCGCCTTCATCTAAAATAATGTAATTTCAAATGAGATGACAATAGGAGATGGGGAGAATCAGAGCAACAAAACAACAATGATGTCATTTAAACCTAGTCACTCATGGATTTACTCAACAGACACTTTTTAAGCAACTAGTATGTGCTGATCATTGTTCTAGCCCTCAGGATACCAAAGTGCCATATTTTGGAGTGGCATTTCCTGAACTCCTAAAGTAGTATTGGGAAAATATTAAAGTCAAAATCTTCCAACCCATAAAAAGTCTCCACAAAAGAAGCAAAGAAAGAAAACAGTAGTTATTGAATAAAATAAATCTGTTAAGAGTTTGCAAAGACAAAAAGGAATCTCATCCCCCTAGAGCCATCAATACATGCATGTTTTCAAGATGAACGAGGACTAGTTCTCAAGTAAGAGAACCGGATAATGTCCTTTTGTTACCGCTTTTGTCACATACAGTCTATCCTGACCTATGTGGGTTGAATTGAGTGTCCCCCCATTCATACATTGAAGTCCTAACCCCAGGCAACTCAGAATGTGACTGTGCTTGAAGATAGAGTCGTTTAAAAGAGGTGATTAAGGTAATATGAGATCATATGGGTGGCCTTAATCCACCTGATAGGTGTTCTTAAGAAAGAGGAAATTTGGACACACAGAGACACTGGGAATGTGCTTGATCAGAGGAAAGAGGACATGTGAAGACACGTTGAGAGGTGGTCATCTGTAAGCCAAGGAGCATGCCCTCAAGAGAAACCCACTCTGCAGCCTTGATCTCAGACTTCCAGCCTCCAGAACTGAACTGTGAGAAAACAAACAGCTGTTTAAGGTACACAGCCTGTGTTGTTTTGTTATAGCAGCCCTGGCAGACTAATACTAACTTTACCTAGAAATTGGATGAACATTTGTGTTAGCTAATGGGCTTTCTAATATTTTCATGACAAGAATGGTTCTGCAGTATGGAGGGAGACACCCACTGGAAGTCAGGCTCCTAGTCTCTGTCAATCTTACAGGAGGCCATTGTTTTTGACTCACTGCCTGCACCTGGCCCCAGCAGACCAGACCAAACCTGAATGGGGTCCCTCATGCTAGGTGCCACGGATTTAAACTGAACTCTGAAACAGACCACTTTTCTACTTTCGGAATGAGGTATTGCCCAATTCCAGAATTACAAATAAAAGCCAATTGAGATGCACAGATGATACGTGCAGGAATTTCCGGGTGTTGGAGTTCTTGGGTCCACTCTAAGAATGAAAGCAGAGGCGTACTCCAGCAGCAGAGGTTGGAAAGATTTTATTTGTAGAGAAGAGAAGAGAAAAGCTGCATGGGGTTCATGCAGGGGAACTGGAAACCAGAAAGAAACCAGTGGTCCCATTGGAAATTGGGTTTTTATAGCCTTTTTTGTATTGCCCAAAGACAGAGATGTCTCTCAGATCTCCTGGGAAGGAGAAGTGTCTCCTTGACCAATTATCACCTTTTGGGACCTCCTGCAGTCTGTCCTTCAAGATCTTTAAATCTGTTGTGATTTTATCTTTGGACACCTGGGAGATGGGTTGCTAGCTCCTTTGAGTCAGGATCATGGAAAGATTTTTTTTTTTATTGTGGTGCTGGGTTTGAGACCCAGAGCTGGTCACATGTTAGGGGTAGAGCTACATCCCCAGCCCTGACGTTTGCTTTTGTTGTTGTTGTTGAGACAGGATCTCTCTAGGTAGCCCAGGCTGACCTGGAACTCAATCCTCCCACCTCAGCCTCCTGACACCATAGCCTCCTATCTCGAAGCCCTGTGAGCCAGTGTGAGTTGTGGGGAGACCTTCACAGGCTTGTCAGAATTACTAATCTTGGAGGGGCAATGAGATCAGGTTAAACAAGGCCAATGGGTACAGAGTACAGAAGAGTCACACACTGCCTTTCATTCTAAAGGTTTTATTGGTCTCTCTGAGTCTAGCAAGGAGCTTTGAGAGGTGAGGCTGAGGGTCCATCTGGGAGTCAGGGACATGCACAGGTCAGCCAAAGAGCAAGAGGCCAGGGCTGGGGGCTGCAGGAGCAAGGGGCAGGAAAGCAAGCGAGGGCATTACACCTTCCACTAGGGCACAGCATGAACCAGCCAGGTGGAGCAGCTCTTCTCAGTGCCGGGACATCTGTGAGGAAGGACAGGGAGGAGGCAGTGAGACTCAAGACCTCTCCCTTGTCCTGCACAGCCCGCTCTCCCTGATAGATGCCATTCTCTGCCTCTTACTTTGGCTGGGCTCGGGGGGTATCTGGCCTTGTAGACTTCATCATTCTGCAGAGACCTCACCAGGCAGGAGCGGCGGTGCGAGAAGGTATCAAAGCTCTTCTTGCCATGGTAGGCCCCCATGCCGCTGTGCCCTGTGGGAGGAACCTGCTCAGGGCCAGGAACCCGACCACAGCTGTGCCTACAGTCCTCCTGGGTCCCTTTTCTGAGCCTCTTGGGGGTGGCCAGTCCCTAGGGTGTCCCCCAGGGCATCCATGTTAGGTACCACAGAGAGAGTCCCCAAGAGGAGTCTAATCTCACTTATACCACTAAATGGCTGCATGACTCGTGATTTGGAACCCCGGGCTGCTCTGGGCCCTCCTGAATTCCCCAGGTTTACCCTGCCCTGGGGGATGCCTGGAAGGAGGCATGTGGGCAGTGAGCTCAGCCCCGGACTCACCCACACCCCCAAAGGGCAGAGAGTGCACAGTGATGTGGACGATGACGTCGTTGGCTGTCACTCCACCACTGGATGTCTCTGCAATCATCTTCTTAATCACCTGCATCAAGATCAAGTCGCTGGCTTTGCCCTCCTGCCCAGAGGACACCCTAGCCTCCCATTCTGTCTGACCATGTCCTGGAGCCACAAGGACACAAGCTTCTGTAGCCAAAGCCCCAGCCACTGTATCAGAACCACATGGAGAAAAAAAGCAACAGCTCCCACACAGTGTGTAAGGCACTGTGTCAATGATCAATTCATCCAAAGCTCTCAGATGAAGCTACTGTCCTGATCCTGGAGATGAGGCCAAAGAGGCTCAGAGAGGGTAAGAAACTTGCCAGAAGTCACACATGAAACAGTGCAGCTGCAATCTGAACCCAGGTTAGTGGATCCCTGAATCCTTTTTGCATGTGAGTGTTGTGCACAGGAGCCCCAGGATGCTGGGAGGAGTCCCAGGCCCACCTTGTCATTGCTGGAGAACACATAGAGAGCCAGGGGCTTCTCACGCTGGTTGATGAACTGGATGGCTTCCTCCAGGCTGTGCACACACACAATGGGCATCACTGGCCCAAAGATCTCCTCCTGCATCACCGGAGACTCAGGGTCCACGTCCGTGAGGATGGTAGGGGCTGAAACAGGAAATAATGCAGAGTTTGCTGGTGCTGAGACCCCTGCCGCCCAGTCCAAGCTCTAGCTCCTGCTTCCACTTGTCCCAGGCTCAGACAAGGATGAAGCCCTAGAGAGCTCTTCCCATGATCCCACCTACATCCTAGGCTTCCCCTTAGCAAAGAATGGGGACAACTGTAGATTAGTCTGCATGGTGGAGGAGCAAGGTGTGAACATTGGGGGCGTAGGCACTACCCCTGCTGGCCACTTGCGTCCCTCCTGGAGCTCTACTGTTTCGTTGGCAAACTGGGGGCCAAATGGGCCCTATTGGGTGACCCCCAGTCTGGTCAATGAGGCTTCTCACAGCTAGGGCTCTTGTGGTCTCTGCTGTCCCATCCTCTCCTTATGTGTGGAGATGAGGGAAATTAAGCCTCTTTCTCTGGCCATGTGGGACAGAGGCTTCTGGGGCTGGGAGGGGGCTTCTTTTTTTTAAGACAGGGTCTTGCTATGTAGCCCATGCTGACCTCAAATTCTAGATCCTTCTGCCTCAGACTCCCAAGTGCTAGGATTATAGGTGTATACCACCACACATAGCTTCAGAGGGAGCTTCTTAAAAGCCACGATCAGCCTCTACCTGCTGAGGACTCCAAGGCCCACTGGTGAAAACCCACCTGTCAAGTATCTGTGCCCACTTGCTGCAAATTTGCTGGAGCCCCCAGAAGGCCAGGCAGGTGGACAGCACTACTGAGGACAGGGCACTCACCTATGTAGCGGGAAGCTGCATCGCAGGTACCTCCATGGGCCACTTTCTGACCCTCAATAAGGCCCATCACCCTCCGGAAGTGCTGGTCATTTACAATTCTTCCATAGTCACGGGACTGCTTGGCATTTTCCCCGTAGAACTCCTGAGAAGAGATGGGGACTTCAGGGAAGGATGCAGACCCTCTTTGTGCCAAAGACTTCCCAGCCACATGTCAGGAAGGACCGTCTTTGGGTGGTGGGATTCTAGGTGGGGCTTTTTATTCTCCACTATGCTTTTTAATCTTTCCTAAGTTATCTGCAGTGCATGCATATTCCTCTTACAATCAAAAGAAAATTATCCAGTAATTCCTGAAGTCCTAAAAGTCAGTCATGGCATCAAGCCCACCTTGTGCCTTACAGCTTCTCCCCTCAAATCCCAGGGTCCTCACTTACTTTCAGCGACTTCTTGAGCTTCTCCACCATTTGGTTCTGGATAGAGGGGTCACAGAGGATGTAGTCAGGGCCCACACAGGTCTGGCCACTGTTCATGAATTTCCCCCAGGCGATCCGTCTGTGAAAATCCCCAAATGGATCACATGATGCGTGCCCCGAGAACACTGGTTTCATTCAGTGTGCTTAGGATTAAGACACCTTGGGTTTAGTGCTGAAGGAGAACCTGCCTGTGTGTGGGCACCACCAGCTGTGAGCAGCCACAAGTGAGCCCTTGTACGCAGCTCACTCATTTCTAGACACTGGACTGAGCAGACCCAGCTCACAGGGACTTCTGGTGCCAGTGTGTCCTAACCTCATGGGTGACAGATGGGAATTTCTGAGGTCATCTGGGGTGAGGCAATTTTGTGCCTCTCTGATCATGCTCTTCCCCCGTGCTCCCTGGTACTGGAAATGAACATGCTAGGCAAGTGCTCTACCACTTGAGCCCTTTTGGTTTTATTTTGTTTTTGAGACAGAGTCTTACTAATTTTCTCTGGGCTAGCCTCAGATCCTCCTATGTCTCCCTCTCATGTATGCAGCATCTAGAACATGGTGTCCCTGTGAGAAGTGAGTTAGTTTTTGAAAGGAATACTTCCTGCATATCATAGTTTTTAAGGTGGAGATAGGCTCTTTTTGCTCCAATAGGAAAATCATCTAGCTAGTGCTACAAGTTCTGACTGGATCATGCTCTTAGAACCTTGCATGGCCAGTGTCACCCCTCTATCTTAAAGGGTCATACATGTGAAGTACGAAGTTGACCAAAGTCCCAGCTGGGATCAGAAGGTCCAGACTGGAGTTTTACCTTGGACCCCAATCATGTCTTGCAGATCTCAGATCAGCCCGTGCCTCAGTCAAGCGCTAGACTTGGACTTAGTAAAGTTCCCTAAGTATCCTACACTTGCTCTTGCAGCCTTTACTTGGAGCTCCACTTCTCCCATGATGCCCATGCAGCAGTCAGAATGCCACCTGGAGCTCTCCCTAAGAAGGTTTCCCAGACTCCTTGCACCTCATGTGAATGGGGATCCCCCAATTTCCCACCACCCCTGGAACACCTGAACTGCAGGCTCCATGAAGCAGGGACCATCTCTGCTACTCAGAGCAGAACCATAGTACTTGGCACCATTCCTGTGTGTTGGAAGGCAAGACAGATGGCCACTGCAGCCCAGACAGGCCCAAGCCTCCTCACCGACAGGCCACGTCCAGATCACAGTCCTTGTCCACATAGCAGGGACTCTTTCCTCCCAGCTCCAGTGTGACTGGTGTCAGGTGCTTGGCAGCAGCCGTCATAACAATCTTCCCCACAGCCGTGCTGCCTGTGTACAAGATGTGGTCGAATCTCTCCACGAGCAACTCTGTGGTCTCAGGGATACCCCCGTTGATCACTGGATAAAGATCCTTCCATTCAAGAAGAGAGGGCAGGCTCAGCAAAGACCAAGCCCTGCAGATCAGCATCCCACCTGGGTGGGGTTCACCCCAATGAGAGAGGGCAGCTGCTAGAGACTGTACCCTCCCCCACACAACCTGTGGTTTGACCCCTTCACAAGAATTTACTATTCTTCAAGCACCAATGCCTGGCACCAACACAGTTATTCTGGAGTCCTAGAGGTCACCTCACCTTGTCCAGGTACTGGGGGATGATGGTGGCCAGCAGGTTTGCCGTGTTCTCACTCACTTCCGAGGGTTTCAGGATCACTGCATTCCCTGAAGAGCATAACGAGTCAGGGCCACACCCAGGCCACCCCCCACCCCGAAGCCTCTGCCCTACCAATGACCAAGCCAGGAGCCTCTACTCCATCATCTGTCTCCTTGGAAGAGTGGAAGGGAGAGCTAGTGACAAATGCAAGTACACACACAGGCACATACCACAGAGGCACACACAAGTACACACAGGCACACACTGAGGAGCACACACAGGAACACACTACAGAAGCATACACAAGAACACATCTGAACACTCACCACAGGTGCATACACAGGCACACGCTGACCAGAGCCTACTACCTTCCCCTCTGCAATTGCTTGGAGGTTGGGGGAGAAGAGAGGAGAAAGTGGAGAAAGATGCTCAGGACCTGGATGGAAGAGCAGCATGGGCCCCTTCTGGTCATTTTGGCTAAGAGCAGCCCTAACCCCACAAAGACAGGCAGGGAGAGGCAGGCCTGAATCCCTCCTGAAATGGAGCCCCCAATATCTACCTGCAGCAATGGCGCCCACCATGGGTTGGATGGTGAGATTAAAGGGGTAGTTCCAGGCTCCGATGACAAGGACCACACCCAGGGGCTCTGAATGGATGTAGGACTCATCCTGCTGAGTCTGGGGAGTCTTCTCCACAGGCTCGTCAGCAGCCCACTCAGGAAGCCTCTTGATCATATTCTCAATCTCCTCCGTGACGTGCACCATCTCCTCCCAGTGGGCAGTCCATTCATTCTACATAGAGGGCTCTATGTGAGCTCACAGCCCAGTGCCAAGGTCTTGCATCTGGGAATATGAGCAGGGAGCCTCCAGCATTGAGCTACCAGGGTGATGGGGGCTGTTCACTGTGGGGAGGGGGCAGGGAACCAGCCAGAGAAGGCACAGGACAGAAACAGAGCTGAAGATTGGCCATTGTGGTGGTGACTCTGTGAGGTCCCCTTCCTGCCAGATTGGGATGTGTCCCCTGTGAGGTGTCTTAAAGGAGCCCCCAGGAAAGAAGGGTAGTTTATGAATGAAGGAGCCAGACCTGGCTAAAGGATAGACTCAAGGGTCATAAGGAACCGAGCCCATGTGTTGTCTGGAAAGCATTATAGACCAAAGTGAGACCTGAACCCAGGAAGGAGCCCTGAGTTGGGAAGAAGCTGTCAAAGACTCAGGAGATAGGGAGTGGTCACAGTACCAAGGGCTGCTGGGGGCCTTAGAGCATCCTGGAGTAGTGCCCAGTTGAGAAAGGAGGCGCAGACAGAAAACATGCACCTCTTTCATGAACTTTGTGAAGTCAAAGAGTGAGTTTTCCTGTTGTTTTTGTTTTAAGGTGAGCAGCTTGGAGTGATTTAAAAAATAATAACTCCAGGAGCACAGAGGGTAGTTGGTGGGTGAGCTCTGAAACAGAGGTGGGCTCCAAAGCTGTGGTCCCAGCGGGAGGGGGGGGCACGCCTTTTCTCCTCCCTGGCAAGAGGGAGGTGAGTTGGGCAGCAAGGCGAAAGAGTTGTGAATTTGAAGATCTGATTTTGCTCAGGGTGAGAGATGGAGCAGCCCCATGGGGATAGAGAGGGAGGGAGATGGACAGGTGCAGCCCTGCTGTTGCCTGGTGTGGAGAACCAGGTGGTCCTAGGTGCACAGAGGGTGGAGGGATGAGGGGACCATTATTTCGGGGTGTCCTGCAGGCGGGAGATGATTGAAAAGAAGAGGGGGGCTCCTGCTGCGAGCTGGATGAAGAAACTGGGCCAGGAGAGAAAGGCTGACAAATGGCGGGAAAGAGCCCTGCCCGAAGGTGGGAGGCGCAGGAGCATCCTGCGAGGCAGTGAGGCGGGAGGAGAGAGCAGCAGACTCCATCTCTGCTGGTGGCTGAAGTGTCACACCCTCCTCCCTCTCCCCACGCCCCATCCTTTCTGAGCCTCAATTTCGACTCTATACCATGGTCATGATGCAGTGTTCTGGGAGCGGAGCACGGTGCTGTGTAAAGTGCTGGGCACGATGTCCCTATAGCTACTCGCGACTGTGCCCCTTCCCACCACCGCCCCTATCGTATTCTGCCGCCGCCCCGGGGACGCGAGCACCTTGTGCAGGTCTGAGGCCAGCGCGCCCACGATGTCCGCCTGGCGCTCCTTGATCATGCGCCGCAGCGCCTCCAGCTGCTGGATCCGGAACTGCAGCGGGCGCGTCCGGCCCGAGTTGAAGGCCCCCCGGGCTCGCTTCACCACGTCGCTGATCTTGCTCATGGTTTCTGGGGACAGAGAGCACCTTGCAGCAGGGGCAGGAGGATGGTCACGTCCTTTGCCCCAAGCCGCAGACTGGCATCGGCACCCGGGCACTTGGTCCCCTTCAAGACACCCCCCAATGGGTTAACTTTCCAGGAAGGGTAAGATCTCTCCTGCAGTCAAGGAAAATGGCGTTCCCTGGAGAGTCCCTGTCTGGATTGGGTTTGTTTGTTTTTTCTCAGACATCTGGGCCCTTCTGAGTCTGGAGACATAGAGTAGATGACACTAATCTGAGTGACGACGAGGACGCAGTGATGGGGATTCTAAACAAAAACGTTAGTAGTGAGTCCTTGGCAGTGTGCTGGGGGCACCGCCCTTCCTGGCATCTCTCCAGTCCCGCTCCTACTCCACCTACGGGCAGAGCTGGTGGCACACTCCCAGGCAAACATTCCAAGAACTCTGCAACCAGCTTTCCAGATTAAATTAGATGAATAAAGGAGCCAATTAAAGAAAAGCCAGCACCAAAATATCCACAAAACCTTTCTGGCTAAGCCATTGTTCTCAGGAGCACTGGTTGCTTGGCAGAGCTGAGTCAGGCTTAGGTTTTAGACCAGTATGTGCTACACCTATGTGACACAAGCCAATGACATAAGCCAATGCCAGCAGAGGCACTGCAGAACTTCAGGTTTCTGTGCAAAAATGTAAAGGTGATTCCTGCTACCAGTACAAGAAATGGCATTAGCAACTTGGGATGACTCTTCTAGCAATTTGTCAGTATCTAGCAAAAACCTTTCAAAAGTGTTCGTCTGTTACACAGAAGGTCTGTGCTCTGGAGTTTCTAGTAAGGACACTATTCCTAACACCATTTGAAATACTGGGAACAGGCTAAAGGCCCATCAGCAGGAGGCGGTTTCAATGAGCTGCACTGCAGCTATGTGACGGACTATCGTGCAGCATTTGCCAGTGAGACAGAGAAAGCTAGTCTGCACATCCATAAGGGCACTGTCTGCTGCAGGTATGTCCCAGGCTCTAGGGATAAGAAAGAAACAGATTACAGAACAACAGGTGTACTAGGATTGTGTGTGTGTGTGTGTGTGTGTGTGTGCTTACACTTGCAAGAAAAGACCAGAAGGGTAGCCCCAAACGTGGGGAGAGAAATTGATGGGAGTGAAATTGTTAGTGAACTTTGTTTTGTTTCTTGTCTCTTTCTCTCTATCTTTCCCTCCATTCCCTCCCCCTTCCTTCCTTGTTTCCTTCTTTCCTTCCTTCTCTTCTTTCTTTCTTTAGTACTGGGGGGTCAAACCAGGGATCTTTCACATGCTAAACCTTCTCTGCTACTGAGCTACAACCCAGCCCCAGTGATTTTTGTTTTTATCTTCTATAGTGTTTGACATTTTGCAATGAGCTCATATTTTCAAATGTTAGTAATATTTTTCAATAAGCAATGCATGCTCATGGTAAAAGATTTAAGAGACAAGGGGGGCACAGAGAAAATTTCCCCTCTCTTCTCCCTCAGCTATCTTCTCCATCAGCTGTGGACGTTCCTCGCCACAGAGGCAACCAATATTATTACCTTACACTCCTTCCAGAAATGGTCAACCCACTCCCAGACTGCATGACTTGACACTGGAGGGTAGGGAAAAGCTATTTCCATTTTGCAAAAATAAAAACACACAAAAAATAAAATAAAAACAAAATAGATATATAACATTTAATTATATTAGCTATAGGTATATGATCCTCCTTAAATTTTGGTTTCTGATTCTTTCTACCACCTGTCTTCCCTCTGCGGTGCTAACCCCCCAACCTCAGCCCCAGGCTTTTTGTACAGGAAGAGGAGATCCTGCTCTCATCTAGGGTACCCCAAGCCTGAATGTGCCATGATATGATAGGAAGCTGAGGAGCCCCCTTACTGGGGCCCCTTACCCCTACCAGCCTGTGGTCCAGGCTCCTCCCAATGATCACACTCTTAGGGAAGGTTCTGCTTGCTTCCCCAGCCTTATGTGATCAAACCAGGGCTATCACCTTAGCCACTGGCCACCAAATCAGGCGATCCCAGGGAGAAGAGCTGAAGTGAGTGGGACTGGGCTGCACTCGCCCCTCCACATGACCTCTCAGAACAGTGGTCACTGGGAAGGATGGGGCCCTGGACCTCCCCTGTGAGCCAGGATTAACCACGGGATGACTGAAATATTAATGGAGACACAAAGCACCCAACATGCCACCTGGCACTTGAGCAGGAGCAGTAGTTGACACGAGCTGGGATACCTGAGCCAGAGCCAGCCCGCCCTGTGGGTAGAATTCCTTCCAGCATCCCTGAGTCCTGCTCCCCTCACCTGTGCCAACTTTGACTTTGCCCCAGGCATGCCTGTTCTCAGCTCCCCCTCGCCCTCCTTCAGTCCTCATCAGAGCTCACGGTAATGACCCTGAGGAAGGAACAGTGACGAATCTGCTCCATAGATGAGGACAGTGAGACTGAAAACCATTCAGTGCTCTCTGGTCTCAAAGTTGGTTAGTGAAAAGCCGGAGGTCACACTCTTGGCTACTTGACCCTGCTGCCTTCTCGGGGAGTGAAGGAACCTGACAGCACACCAAGACCTCTCACGCAAGGCCACTTCAGTCTCCCTGCATCATGGATCCCTGGGTCTTCCTGGTGCTGAGGGTGACAGAACTGCCAATATGTGGCTTTGGACACTGAGTGCATCCAACCAGGAGATGATGGCCCTGGGGGAGAAGGACTAGCCCCTCACAAAGAGGGCTAGAGGATTTTCGACCCTTGGGGACCCTGCTCCACACGCAGGCTCTGCCTAGGTATTCCCACCTAGGGTGAAAAAAAAGAAGGAACCTGAGGGGCAAGGATTACCTTTGACACTGCCTCTCCCAGTGGCTGGGGCTCCTGGAATGAGCAAGAGCCCAAAGAGGACATATTTAAAGACCCTCCATCCCGCCCACTTGGCCCTTGGAGTCCTGGCCCAGGAAGTTTGCGTGACAAGGAAAAAAACGATATTCAAATGTGGGGTGTAGCATAATCCGGACGTCTGCTCCCTGCAGCTGGACTTTGGGGATTAGGTCTTGGGTTGTCTGTTTTTGTTCTACTCTGAAATGCAAGCTGTGGCTTTGAGGGTTTGGTCAGGGTTCACATCCAACCTTCAAAAGGAGCCTCTGTGTTTGCCCTGGGCGTGGGGGCCGCTGATTGATTCAGCCTGGCGTGGGCCTCTTCCAGATTTCCAAGTGCATTTGCCAGATGCTCATGGAGTTTGTGTGCAGCACCTGAACATGCACCCCAAAGATTCACATCTCCTCAAACCCTGCCATGTGCGCAGGTGCCAGGGCCCCATCGAGGCAGAGGCCCCAACCTGCAGGCTGGGCTTTCTATGGGGTTCCCACTAATACATGGGCCAGGACCAGTGAGAAGTGCAGGAATTTCCCTCTTGGTGGTCACAATCCCAGACACTCTTTCTCTGCAGTTTGCAGGCGTCCTCAGGGCTCCTCTCTGTACCACGTTGTGACATGGATTGCCACATCTGGTCATTTCTCACACCTCCACTGCCACCTCAAATTCACAGCCTTTTCCTGCCCCACTGACCTATCTGCAGTCTACTTACCAGTGTCCAGGTGACCTTGCCTCCCATTTCACTCAGAGGAAGACACAAGGTCCCCACCGTGGCCTGAGAGACCCCCACCTAGGACGGCTACAGCATATATCCACACGTGGCTTCCTCAAATATCATGTCAAACAGCACCCTGTCCTTGTCATTCTCTTTTCCTCCATCACTTCTATCCCTCTGACATGTTGTTTGTCTAGTCATATGCTGCCTAGTGACAACCAAAATGCAAAGATGGTCCCTTAAGATTGCAGTGGAGTTGAAAAATTCCTATCGTTCTGGTGACACAGCCATAGTAACACCACAGTGCCACTCATCACCTAAGTGTGTGTGGTGACGCTGGTGCAAGCAGCCTACTGCACTGCCAGTGCTACAAAAGCATAACACACAATTGTGTCTAGTTCACAATATGTGTGATGATAACAAATGACTGACTAGTTTGTGAATTTACTGTACTATTCTTTTACCATTATTTTAGAGTATACTCCTGCTTACAAAAAAAAAAAAAGAAAGAAAATCGGCTTCCAGTAGATCAGCTTGCCATGCAAGGCAAGCTTGAGTGCTAAGGACAGAATGCAGGGCCTTGGGCACGCTTTGCCCCAACCCTTCTATTTTTATTTGGTTTTTGAGATAGGGTCTCACCATCACCTTTGCCTGGGCTGGCTCAGAACTCATGAGCCCCACATGTAGCTGGGATTATAGATGTGCACCACCACACCCAGCTACTACATCTGTTGACTGCATCATTTTCTCTTGTGCTCCACTTAATTTTGTGTTGTTTGGTTCATCATGGCCCTGGGAGCCATAAGCTATGTCATGTGGCCTCGGGGTGCAGTGGGCTAGACCATCTAGGCTTGTGTATGCATATTATTTTGTGATGTTCATACATCATTGTAAACAATGATGAAATGATGCACCTTCTGACGCATCTCTCAAAATATAACTCTGCTGTTTAGTGACACATACCTGCTTTGTGTGCTGCCTGTCTTCCCCTTACAGCCCCCATCAGCTAGAATTTCATTTATTCTTTGCTGCAATTCCCAGCTCCTAGAAGAGTCCAGCACATATTAAGTACTCAATAAATATTTGTTGAATGATGAAATAAGCAAACAAATTCAAAATAATATGAAAACTGCAGTGATCAGGGTGCAGAGAATGCTGAAGGGGCGCAGAGGAGTGTCCCATGGGAGAAGCATTCAGGCAAGCACTGAGGCAGGAAACAGGGTATCATGTCCACCAAAGTTTGTCACCAAGAAGGGGTTATGTGTTCACCATGGCCAGCAGGAGGTGAGGAGAGAGATGGGGCACAGAGCCCAGGGGGTTGGGGGAGCCCAAGCCTTGTGGTACAGACATGTCTGGTAATTTGGGGTTTTGCTTTTGTCATGAGTGGCAGCAATAGCAGGGAAGGTCAGAGCAAGGAGCCTTGTTACAGTTTAAATTGGTGAGGGAAAAAATCTTTTGGGTTGCTTATTTGCTTCTTGGTTACAAGTATCAGTTCTAGGGCCAAGGGTGTGGTTCAGTGGTTGAGCACTTGCCTAACATGCAAGAGGCCCTGAGTTCAATCCCCAGCATTGAAAGAAAAAAAAGAAAAGGTTTCAGTTCTGGCCTAGTTCAGGTGGTAAGGAAGATTTGCAGATGCCTGCTCTTTAGATTTTAATCTTTGCAAACTCTGATAATCCCTCCCCAGTGCCTTATCCTAGCCTCAGCTGCCACACTTTCCCTCCTGGGCCACTCTCATTGCCACCTGACTGCCCTGCCTGAGACGACACTCACCTCCCATGACACCTTCTCCAAACTGCTGCTGGAAGGATTTTTGAGCAATAAAGGCTTAAACATGTCTGCCCTGCCACCCCCCCAATTAACATCCTTCGGTGCCTTCTTATTGCTCTTAAGGAAAAATTCCATGGCCTCTGAGTCCCTGCATGTCTTGATTTCTGGCTGCCTTGCCAGCTTCACTTCAGACCACTCCCTACTGTTTTCACTAATTCTACTCCACTAGCATTCTTTTAATGGGCCAGGGGACCTCCTACCTCAGGGCCTTTGCACATGCCATTCTCCCCAGGACACTTTCTCTTCTACTCTGCACCAAGGTAACTCTTACCTATGTTTAGATCTCAGCTTATCTGATCCCCCCACCCCAGAAAAAATATACCTTCCTTACTTCTAGGAGCTTACCAAAATTTGCAGCCAAATCTGTTTGTGTAACTATTTTGATTGTTTTTCTTCTCTCATCGCCCTTCACAGACTGGAGTTTCCACGAAGGAAGTGATCTCAGATTTGTTTGGTGCACTCTACCCAACACAAGCCCAGGCCTGACTTACCATATTTTCCTTTTACGATGAGTTTATTTGTAAGGTGAGGAGTATCTGTACACCCAAGTATCAAAGGTGAGATTTGAGTGAGTTACACAAGCCCCTGGGAATTAGTAAAAGTAGACAAGATCTGTGTTGAGATGTGAAAGTCTTCCAGACGCTTGAAGGTGTGAGTCAGACAAGAAAACCCACGCACATGCCTCATATGAGCAGGAAGAGACTGTCGTGAGCATGTAAGGAGAACACTTGGAAACACCCAAACTCCAACCAACGTGGAACTGTGACAAGCACAGGTCTGGCAAGGGACCCAAGTAAGTGGAAACTTACTCCTCGTTTGGAGAAAGACCACAGAACAGAAGGGGCTGCCAGCCTGGGCGAGCTACCTTGGAGGCTAGCATTGACTGGGCCTCTCACAGAGCCAAGGCTGAGCATGCAGCTGCCTTGGCAGGACCTTTCCCTTCCCTGCTGCAGGTGAGGGACTGATGGCTCCAGGGATTTATGGAGTGTGGTGACTTCCATCCCAAGCCCATCAAGCCTCCTTTGGATTCCCTGGCTACCCCCACCATTGGCAGACAGGGCAAGGGGCTTTGGTACCATGGACCTGGAAGCTATTCTTGTCAGAATAAAAAAGGTACAGGCAGGCACCAGTGACTCACACCTATAACTACATGGGAGACTGAGGTTCAGAGAATAGAGGTTAGAGGCCAGCCCAGACAAATAGGTTGTGAAAACCTCAACCAACAGCTGGGTGCAGTGGTGCACGCTTGTCAGTTACAGAGACTGAGATTGGGAAGGTCATGGTTCCAGGCCAGCCCATGCCAAAAAAAAAAAAAAAATTCTCAAGACCCCATCTCAATGTGAAAAAACTGGGGGAGCAGCTGCATTCCTGTCATCCAGCTACGGTGAAAAGGAGGATTGTGATCCAGGCTGGCCTGGACAAAAAGTGAGACCCTAGCTCCAAAATGACCAGAGCAAAAAGGGCTGGAGATGTGATTCAAGTGCTGGAGCATCTGCCTACCAAGTTCAAAGTCCTGAGCACCACCAAAAAATAATGATGATGATAATAGTAAAATAAAAAAGGCACATTGAGAAGTGCTGGTGAACTGACGAATGGATTAAGAAAATGTGGTATCTATACACAATGGAATTCTATGCAGCCATGAAGAAGAACGAAATGTTATCATTCGCTGGTAAATGGATGGAATTGGAGAACATCATTCTGAGTGAGGTTAGCCTGGCCCAAAAGACCAAAAATCATATGTTCTCCCTCATATGTGGACATTAGATCAAGGGCAAACACAACAAGGGGATTGGACTATGAGCACATGATAAAAGCGAGAGCACACAAGGGAGGGGTGAGGATAGGTAAGACACCTAAAAAATTAGCTAGCATTTGTTGCCCTCAACGCAGAGAAACTAAAGCAGATACCTTAAAAGCAACTGAGGCCAATAGGAAAAGGGGACCAGGAACTAGAGAAAAGGTTAGATCAAAAAGAATTAACCTAGAAGGTAACACCCACGCACAGGAAATCAATGTGAGTCAACTCCCTGTATAGCTATCCTTATCTCAACCAGCAAAAACCCTTGTTCCTTCCTATTATTGCTTATACTCTCTCTACAACAAAATTAGAAATAAGGGCAAAATAGTTTCTGCTGGGTATTGAGGGGGGGGAGAGGGAAGGGGCGGAGTGGGTGGTAAGGGAGGGGGTGGGGGCAGGGGGGAGAAATGAACCAAGCCTTGTATGCACATATGAATAATAAAAGAAAAAGGAAAAAAAAAAGAGAAGTGCTGGTGACAGTTTGCAGAAAGTGAGGAGTGGCTGAAATGTGCCATCACTTTGGAAATCAGTGTGTCTGTTCCTCAAAGAGTTGTATAGAGAATCACACAACAAGTTCATTACTACGAATGTATGCCAGAGAAATAAGACAGGTTCTCAGAACACCTGTACATGGAAGTTCACAGCAGCATGACTCAACAGCCAAACATGAA